ATTCTCTCAATTTTGAAAATCATATATCATGGATTATGCGAAATAAGTAAAACTTCCATTTTCTTCATAACAAGAAGTATGATTTTTTAATTAATTTATGATATATATATACAGTATTTTTTAATATATTAAAATGATTTTTTTTTATAAAGGGAAGTACATATTTCAAATTTCTTTATAATATTCAAGTTTTTGGAATTTATGAGGATGTGCTTCCAATTCAAGTAAGTACTTATAATTAACCATAATTTTTATAATTTTTAATATTATTTATATTTTATTCATTGATGCTTTTTTATTCTAAAGAAACTATTTAATTAAAGAAGAAGAAAGTATTGGAAAAGGTGCAAATACAGTTATATCCTTTGTTCATAATTATTTTACTCTCTGTGAAATGGGTGAAACTAATCTAATAATTCATGCGGATAATTGTGCTGGGCAGAATAAAAATAATGCTATGATCATATATTTAGCATGATGAGTTGCATGTGGATTGCATACTAAAATTACATATTCATTTATGATACCTAGACACACAAAATTTAGCCCTAATGGGTTTTTTGGTCTTTTTAAATTAAAATTACGAAAATCAGAAGTTGATAATCTTGATGATTTAGTAGATGTAGTAAACAGTTCAACATTAGGAGGTTATAATCAAGCACAGACAATTTTTGATAAAGATGGAAACCGTATAGTACATTTTTATAATTGGACAGAATTTTTATCAAATTATTTTAAAACAATTCCTAATATTTTAAAATACCATCATTTTATTTTTTATAGTAATAATGTAGGTAAAGTAAAAGTAAAAAAAACAATTGATGGGAATGAGCAAATTGTAGATATTATAAAAAAAAAAAATTAAAGGATTTTCATAAGAAATTTTTCCTGCAGGATTATTAGTCGAAAGGCAATGGTATTATATGAGCAGGTACGTCAACACATCAGAGATCCTCAAAAGCAAAATGATTATTGTCCATTACCAACCATTCAAAAACCAAGTAGATAAATAATTTTACTTTTTTTTAATAAAAAAATGATTGAAAAAATTTTTTTTTCTGATTTTATATTATGTCATTGTTATTTAAAATTGATTTCATAAAAATGTTTATGTAAAAATTCTTCAACCAATAAAAAAGAACACTATTCCTTATAAGGTTCGTTCTATCTGATTAAATCCATAAAATTCACTTAAAAAAAAAAGTTGACCGATTCCTAAAAAAAAGAGAAAAAAGAATGGTTAGTTACTCAAAGAAAGAAATTAACTCGCCTATAATAAAAAACTTACAAGTTCGCTTAAGAAAGTCTAAGCGGATTTCTTAAAAAAGATGAAAGAAAAGAATGGTTAGTGCCATTCTAAAGAAAGAATTAACACATTCATAAAAAATTTACCACAAGTTCATTTCGAGAAAAAATCCAAGCCGATTCCTAAAAAAAGAAGAAAGATAATACTATTTCAAAAGAAAGAATTAACAACCCATCTATAAAAAACTTACCACAAGTCCGTTTTAAGAGAAAATCCAAGCTAATTCCTAAAAAAAAGAAGAAAGATAGTACCGTTTCAAAAGAAAGAATTAACAACCCACCCATAAATAACTTACCACAAGTCCATTTTGAGAGAAAGTTTAAGCCGATTCCTAAAAAAAAGAAGAAAGATAGTACTATTCTAAAAGAAAGAATTAATACACCTATAAAAAACTTACTACAAGTCTATTTCGAGAAAAAGTCTAAGCCGATTCCTAAAAAAAAGAAGAAAAAATGGTTAGTACCATTCTAAAAGAAAGAATTAACACACCATAAAAAACTTATCACAAATCTGTTTCAAAAGAAAGTCCAAGCCGATTCCTAAAAAAAAGAAGAAAGAAAAAACGGTCAGTATTATTCTAAAAGAAAGAACTAACACATCCACCTATGAAAAACTTACCCTAAGTCCGTGTTGAGAAAAAGTCCAAGCTGATTCCTAAAAAAAAGAAAGAAAAGGACGGTTAGTATCGTTCTATAAGAAATTAATCTTATCCATAAAAGCTTACCTCTGCTTGAAGAAAAAGTGAGAAAGTTAAAAAAATTCTAGCGGAAATAATAATTTATAATATAAAAAAATTGTTAAAAATAAAGATCTATTTTAATTTTAATATCTATTTTTAATACTGCTGGATTGTCGATCTGTTTACTTATCAAAACTTTCAAACCTAAATATCTCAAAATCACGTTTATTAGAGTTTCCTCCCTTTCTATTGCAAAGGTTCCATATATAGATGTTATGTACTTGTTAATCTCAAATTGCGTGTAATTTATGTTATGTGACCGTTCTTATAATCTGATATATATAGGAAATATTTTTCTTACTTTTCAATTTATGATTTCTCCATAAAATTTTTTACTCTTCACTCTTTCACGACTCTTCTATAAATGAAATATAAAATTTTTTTACATTCCATGACTCGTCAAAATTAATTTTTTTATTTTTTAAAAAAAAATAAATCAAAATGTCAAAGCCAAATCTCTTGCCAAAGAAATTATGATATGTATAATGAGACTATAAAAGTAAATTATAAAACATATAAAAATATATTAAATGCTCTATTAAAAGTATCACCATCATCAATGAATCCTTAACACCATTAATCTAATATTATAGTTCTTAGCGAAAAGAATGGCAGAAACATATTTTGACGGTATGTACAAACTTTATTTTAATGTATATATATATATTTTTATTATTTATAAAAACAATATTAACAATAACTTTTATATTATTAATTAATATTTAGTATGTCCTCCTTCTGCATTGATACATGCTTTAATTTGGCTTAGCATACTCTCAATATACTGAAGTAACATAGCGTCATCAAGATCGTCTCATTCCTGCTGAATTGTATTAAAGAATATATTGCAGATAATTTTTTTTTTTGCTATTAAATACTTGATCTTTTTCTCTACCTTTCCCTTTAATACAGCCATATATTTTCAATAGGGTTCAAGTCTAGGCTGTATAAAGGCCAAGAAAGAACTCATCCTAAAAGATGTTTTATCAAGTCTTCCTGAACATTGTGTGAGGTGTGTTTTGAGTCATTATCTTGTTAGAAGACCCAGTCACATCTGTATAACATATCTGCATTGTTATACAAATGGTCGTCCAAGATTTTTCAATACAAATAACGATCCAAATTTTCAGTAAACAAATGAATGCTGATTTTTCTTTTAGCACTAATTGCTACCCAAACATGAACCTTGAATGGGTACTTTACTATAGGGGCAATTGGATGTGTATTATGAGACTATGCACATATGGTATTTCTAAACATCTAAAGTGTTATTTCATCAGAAAAAAATAACTTTTTTTCAGTTTTATCGCGAATGATCACGTGCCTAAGACAAACAAAAATTCTTCACTTTTTGGGTCAAAAGAGGAACCTTTTTTGGAAGAACAGAAACATATCCAAGATTGTTGAGCTCATGACGTATCGTACATTCACTGACATCAAGGATGGGATCTTTTTCTTCCAATTTTACCTTAAGTTAGCCTGCTGTAGTAAAATGATCATGTTGCAGAATTTTTTCAATATGGCAGCATTGATTTGAAACCAATTTTCTTGGATGGCCAGAAGAGTGACCAATAGAAATTTTGCCAGTTTTATTTAGTAAACTGACATATCGTTCATATGTGTGTAAAGGGATGGACAATCGATTAGAAATTTCCTTTGCATTACGCACTTTTTGGTCCCAAAGTGACTTAACAGAATTTCTTTGTATTTCTAAAGAGCTTGGCATAGTTTCGGAAAGGAAATCAAAATAAAAACAAATAACAAACCTTATTTTTTAACTTAACTTTTTAATTCAGGTTCCAATGTCCGATTTGGGCACATAAACAAATGCCTAAATCCGGAAAGTGGTGAAACCGCAGCCTAAAATAGATGCGGTCTTCCACCGCCATTCTTTTCGCCGGGACTGTAAATACTTATTTCATTTCTCCACGAAATGAAACAAAAATTTTTTACTCTCCCTCTCCATGTTCACGAAACTTAAATATTTTTTTACTCTTCACTCCCTACGACCAATTGGACACATTATTTGTTTTTTAATATTTTGGTCAAGGTTTTTGGACATAATGTGTCAAAATTGTCCACTCTTCACGACTCGTCAAGTTAATTTTATTATATTAAACCTTGCAGTAAGCTATACATTTTTTATTTCACTACATTTATTAATAATATTCTCTTTAGAATAAATGAATATCTTGTTCCTGACGTTAAAAACTTATTTCATGATATGCACAGAAAAATGTATAGCTCAGAAACTCTCCATGACTTCTCCACGTCCACGAATATAAAAATCTTTTGCTCTCTACAACCAGTGTTATACGATCGTTATTTATGCTCCTAGCATCACATCAAAGAAACAATCAACGGTTGGAAAAGATTATGGTAAATACACCATTAAAGAACATTTTTATCTTCGAAATTATCTGTTTATAAGGAATTTTTCGTGGTAATGATAATAAATAGGAAAACTAGTAAGATATCGTGGCCTCTAGGATGAATGATACAGAAAGTAGCATTTAACGAAGTAGCAATGAACCTTGGACAAGGGATAACTAAATTAATCACGAATTAGGAGGAAAATTAATCGTAGAAAAACTTATTGCAATATGCTTAAATAAATAATACAATTATCATTAATTCGGATTCAACAAATGAGATTCAACTGATCCAACTTTAAAAAATACATTTAATTATTGCTAATCTTGTCTCTCCGTGACAAATTACTCCACGACCAAAAATGTAATAATCAAATGGTATACGGTTATGTAATTAAATAGGTTTTAAATATAGGCGTTCGACAGAAATTGTTTTTACGTGACAAATATCAAATGCTGCCAATCGGAATCAAATATAACTTCATCCAATCAGAACTGGAAGTTTCACAAATTCAAAAACCTTAAATTTTAAGTTGTTTTAGTTGTTTTCAAACAAAATTTGTTTTTCTTAAAAAGTTTTAAAATGGAAAAACTTCTAAAGTGGTCGGTTGAACATAGTGATCTAAGCAGAAGCACACAACCTCCGCCTCAGGATGATCCGGAAAAGAGAAAAATAGTAAATTTTTTTTTACTTTATTCATCTTTATTTCTATTTATTATTAAATACGCGCGACATTTTTTTCTTTAGGATTCTGAAATTATTGATGTAATTCTGGGAAAAAGTGACGCTACTCAAATTCGAGGTTATTATAATAATAAAATAATTGCATTATAAATATTTTATTATATTTTTTTTCACTTTTGTTTTATGCAGAGGCTATTGAGGTTATATCCAATACTAATGATACTTTGGAGAATAGAGAAATTGCACTTGACAATCTGGAAATGGTATGTTATTACTTTCTTTAACCCTTTATTTTGAAATCACAGACACTCATAATTTTTTTTTTTTAATATTTAATTATGGAGCTAGTGGAACAGATAGACAATGCTAACGGTTAGTACGATGATTAATAAATATCTTACATATTTGCTATTACTAATTTAATTAATTCTTAGACATTGAAAATATGAATTTATGGCCAAAAATTTTATCGTTTCTTTCATTTCCTGAGACATCACTTCGAGTACATGCTGTATGGGTATGCGGAACTGCCGTACAAAATAACCTTAAAGCACAAAAAGCCGTAAGTTTTAAAACGATCTTTTTAATAAATATTTTAAGTAATATTCATAGTATTAAATTGTTTTAGTTTGCAGAGAAAGGAGGTATAAGACTTATATTGAACTTGTTAAATAATCAAGAAGAAGATAAGGAAGTTAGAAGCAAAGCTTTATATGCTATTTCCGGTAAACTTTAGAATTCTTTTTTTTTTTTAGCACTTATTTGTAAATTGCTCAATTAATAAAATTTTTTTATTTATAGGAGCTATCAAACATTATCCACCTGGATTAGAACAATTTGAAAAGGAGGGAGGCTATGAAATATTATTATCTTTACTGCAAACATCTAATGGTATGTAATATATCATCAAGTGATTCATAGGATAAAATGTTTAACCAAATTTCTTTCATAGATCTTCCCATTCTTCGTAAAGTGGTATTTTTATTTAATACGTTGCTTCTCCAAGATACAACTACAGTGGCCGCCAGAATAGAAGAAAAAGGATTGGCTATGCAAATGATTAAACTGTTAGGAACTTATGGAGATGATGAAGATTTATCTGATAAGGTAATAATTTATAAAACAATCATATCGGTCAGTACTTTGAAACCAATTTTAATTGATTCTTTTTCATTTCTTTTTTAGATACTACGTACATTATTTACCAAACTTCAGAATTCCTCTAAATCACTTTCAGAGGATGAAATTAATGAATTAAGGAGAATTCTTCCTGAAATTAAGAAAAAGTACGGGGAAGTTTCCTTAAGTAGATCAGAATGGGAAAAATTGGAAAGTTATCTATAATCTATAAATGAAATTGCTCAAAGTACTAAGATCGCTTCTATTATCACTTGAAATTTATCTTTTAATTCAACTGAATTACAACATATTATAATCGAAGAATAATATTTTTATAAACATTTTTAATTTTTAATATGTTCATTTAAAATTCTTATGATCGTATTAGTGCCGTGAAATGATATAATCTTTTCATTACAAACATGGTATGGTACTTTTTTAATAAAGCCAGTCATTGTGACATATATGAGTTCCGGGCCTGAAGTTTTTTGACTAATAAAAACTAAATAATTTAAGGTTAATAATCGGTTAATCATCCGAGATTTTGATAACGATTTATAAGGAATTTTATTTATAGATAGATACTAATATTACCATCTGGAGGTTAATTTGACAGTTTTTTTTATTCTCCGAAAAGATCCGGGTGGCACATAATGAGAATCTACATAATTTTATCATAAATAAATCATATAAATCAAAATACTTTTTGTGGTTTTTTTGCTCGTAAAAAATGTCCTCGGCAATTTGGTCTCGTGCATTAAGACCTACCCATTCTCTTTTAAAGTCAAAAGCGGTAAAGCTTCGTGTTGCTTCCTCCATAAAGTTACGCTATCCAGTTGTTTCTTCCCTTGGTGCTATTCGTAATAAAGTTACTGCTGTAAATTCTATATACCCGCAACCTTCAGTTTCTCCAAACGATGTCTTTCTTCAAGGAAATACAGCAACTTACATTGAAGAAATGTATGAAGCATGGCTGAAAGATCCTTCTTCAGTTCATTTGTCATGGCAGGTGTATTTTAAGAATATACAGTCTGGTATAAATCCGAGAGTAGCCTACCAACCTCCACCAACAATCGTTCCTTTGACTGGGTCGGCTACCACAGTAGTACCGACAGATACTTCCAGTTCATATGATGTTAATAACCATATGAAAGTCCAATTATTAGTAAGAGCATTTCAAGTTCGTGGACACCATATTGCAAAGTTGGATCCTTTAGGAATTTTAAATGCAGATTTAGACGGTTCAGTTCCAAAAGAACTTGATCCGAAACATTATGGATTTTCTGAACAAGATTTAGAAAAAGAATTTTCACTCGGTCCTGGTATCTTGCCCGAGTTTGCTGCGACTGGAAAAAAAAAGACACTTCGAGAAATAGTGGATATATGTAAGAAGATATATAGTAAGTAAATTTGATGGTATCTTAAACTTTGGGTGCAGAATATTTAAAAGACGTAGATCATATAATGTAACTAAGATTTATCGAATTAATTCCTTCTTTTTAAATTATTCCATAGGTGGTACTATCGGTATCGAATACATTCATATTCCCGATCGAGTCCAATGCGATTGGATTCGCTCCAAAGTAGAGATTCCAAAGCCATATGATTACACGATTGCAGAGAAACGCATGATATTAGATCGATTAATATGGTCCGATTCGTTTGAACGATTTATTTCCACAAAATATCCAAATGAAAAGAGATTCGGTTTGGAAGGCTGTGAAAGTTTGATTCCGGGAATGAAAGCTTTGGTAAGATATAACCCAAGGCGAAAGGACTCTTTTTTTTTTATGGTATAAAAATAATTTTCTAACTATTCTTCGTTAGATTGACCGATCGGTTGATCTTGGTATAGAGTCAATTGTATTAGGAATGGCGCATCGTGGACGTCTTAATGTACTAAGCAATGTGGTTCGTAAACCAAATGAATCTATTTTTTGTGAATTCAGCGGTTCTGTCGAACCATCAGATGAAGGATCTGGTGATGTGAAATACCATTTGGGTATGAACTACGATCGACCCACTCCTTCTGGCAAACGGGTACACCTTTCCTTGGCTGCTAATCCATCACATTTAGAAGCGGTCGATCCCGTGGTACTTGGCAAGACTCGTGCACTTCAACATTATATGAATGATGAAAAAGAACGCCATCGTTCAATGGCTTTATTGTTACATGGAGATGCTGCTTTTGCGGCTCAAGGAGTTGTGTATGAAACAATGGGCTTTCACGATTTGCCAAGTTATACAACGGGTGGCACTGTTCATATAGTCGTCAACAATCAAATTGGTTTCACCACAGATCCTCGATTTGCTCGTTCAACACCGTATTGCTCGGATATTGCTAAAGTAGTAAATGCACCCATCTTCCACGTTAATGGTGATGATGCTGAGGCAGTGAATTTTGTGTGTCAAGTGGCTGCTGAGTGGAGACAAACATTTAAAAAGGATGTCGTTATCGATTTGGTTTGCTATCGTAAATATGGTCATAACGAAGTTGATCAACCTAGTTTCACGCAACCTAGAATGTACCAACAAATAGCTAAGCAAACACCAATTCTTGATAAATATGTTCAAAAGTTATTGAAAGATGATACATTCACTATGGAAGATATTCAGAAGCATAAAAAATGGGTTTGGGATACTTTGGAAGAAAGTTACCATAAAAGCAAGGATTATAAACCTACAAGTCGTGAATGGTTATCCAGTTCTTGGAATGGTAATAATTATTTTCGTTTTCAATGAATTATTTTATATGAGATAATCCTAAGATTTCAAATCATAATAATCATAATTGTTTTGTTAAAGGTTTCAAATCACCCAAAGAGCTTGCCGAAGAGATTACACCTGCATATCCAACTGGTGCATCGGATGAATTACTTCAACACGTTGGTGAAGTTATCAGTTCATATCCAAAAGGTTTTAACGTACATCCAGGTTTAGCGAGAATCCTTAAAACTCGTGCTAAGGCTGTCAACGAAGGACAAGGAGTTGACTGGCCTACTGCCGAGGGTCTTGCATTTGGTTCATTACTTCTTGAAGGCAAACATATTCGTTTATCAGGCCAAGATGTTGAACGTGGGACCTTCTCACAACGTCATGCAGTACTTCATGATCAAGTAAATGAGACACAGTATATACCACTAAATGATTTAAGACCTGGTCAGGCTCCATTTATCGTTTGTAATTCTTCTCTTTCTGAATTCGGAACCCTTGGATTCGAACTTGGATATTCTCTAGTCAATCCTAATTCTCTTATCTTATGGGAAGCTCAATTCGGTGATTTTGTAAATAATGCTCAATGTATAATTGATCAATTTATCGCTGCCGGTGAAAAGAAATGGTTGCAGCGTACTGGGTTGGTTGTTTTATTACCACATGGGTATGACGGACAAGGTCCTGAACATTCCAGCGGACGTCTTGAACGTTTCCTTCAATTATGTGATGATCATCCATACGTTTATCCTTCTCCAGAGAAAATGTCACGCCAACATCAGGACTGTAACATGCAAGTAGTATACGCTACTACACCTGCAAATTATTTTCACGTTTTGAGAAGACAAATTCATCGTGACTTTAGAAAGCCAGTAAGTTTTTCCAATAATTTAATAAATTTTATTACCTTTAAAAATATCATCATCCTTAACGAAAATTTATAATTATGGAATTTAGCTTATAGTCTTTACGTCTAAGAGTCTTCTTCGTCATCCAATGGCACGTTCTTCTCTTGTCGACATGACTGGAGATACTGTCTTTAAACGAGTTATACCCGATCCACACCCAGAAACGTTAGAATCACCTGAAAAAATAACAAGACACGTTTTATGCTCCGGGCAAGTTTATTATGCCCTTCTCAGAGCTCGTGATCAAAATAAAATGAGTCACGTTGCCATTTCTAGACTGGAACAAATATGTCCTTTCCCGTACGATTTATTATCTGAACATGTTGACAAATATCCTAATGCTCAACTTATATGGGCACAGGAAGAACCACTAAATTCAGGTGCATGGACATATGTTGCACCGAGAATTCGAACTTTATTGAACCATTCAAAAACTCATGAGGGTGCGTATGCCATGTGGTCATATGATCAACTTGTGATTTTCTTGCCCAATTATTCTATGTTGATCAACAATGAAAAAAATGTATTTTATTTAGGTCAAGCTGCTAAGCCTGCTACTCGATTACCTTCAGCATCTCCCGCAACCGGTAACAAGAAACAGCATATTCAAGAAGAACATGAGTTGATATCTCAAGCTTTAATTGGACAAATAGTTAAACCAAAAGAAGTTGTGTCTGGTGTACCAGTCTGGGCATAATGAAATTTATATGCCATTTTTTTTTTTTTTTGATTTTATTATTTTTCTTTAATGATTGTATCATAAAACAACTATTTTTATTTGATTGACTGACTGATTGATTGATTGATTAGTTTATTTATTTACAAGTTTTAATTATTATTTTTATTTTTTTATTATTCGTTTGTTTATTTATTTACAAATTTTTTTTATTATTGAATCGGTAGAATTTTGTATAGATTACCAATAACTTAAAAAAAAATTAAAGACATTTTAATAAATTAGATAAATATAAATTGAGTGAATTATTGATAAAAAAATTTCGTTGATTATATGAGATCACAGCAAAACATGACACAGGGAAGAACGATTATTTTATTTTAAATTCATAGGTAAAAAATATTTGACTTCACAGCAATTAACAAATAGTTTTATTTCATAAAACCTGAATGATTTGTATATATACTATGCTACCCAATCACGCGGATTTTTCAACACTTCCATCAAATTATCTTCACGACTATTTTTCTCGGGTTTATGCATATATTCCCATCTTGCAGTTAGAGGTAATGACATAAATATACTTTCGATTCTTGCACCCGGAGTTTGTAATCCAAACTTTGTTCCACGATCCCATATAAGATTAAATTCAACGTATCTTCCTCTTCGTAATTGTTGCCAATGTTTCTCCTCTTCACCAAATTTCATATCTTTTCTCTTTTGAATGATCGGAACATAAGAAGGGAGAAAAGCATCACCACATTGCTTTATAAAAGCAAATGTTTCTTCTTGAGGTTTTCTGTCTAAATCATCAAAGAATATACCACCAACCCCTCGTGATTCATTACGATGCTTTAAATAAAAGTATTCATCACACCATTTCTTGAATTCAGGATAATATGAGGGATCATGTTTATCACATGCATCCTTTAATGTTTTATGAAAGTGAATTGCGTCTTCCTCGAAAAGGTAAGAAGGTGTTAAATCGGATCCACCTCCGAACCACCATAATTTAGTTCCATTTGCATTATTGATCTCAAAATATCTATAATTTAAATGTATAGTTGGTGCATAAGGGTTATGTGGATGCATAACTATTGAAATTCCTGCGACGAAAAATGGATAAGGTCCATTTGACGGATCAAGATCTTTATTACGAGATCTCATTTGCTGTATTGCTGATTCAGGTAAATTCCCATGAACGATTGAAATATTTACACCGGCTTTTTCAAAAATTTTTCCATCTTGCAAGATACAAGAAATTCCCTCACCACCTTGAGGTCTTTCCCAACGATCAATTTTGAATTTGTTACCATCAACCAATTCGATTTCTTTAATGATACGACGTTGTAAAATTTTTACGTATTCTTCCATTCTATCGCGTATAGGTATGTTCTGATCATTGATATCGATATTCTAAAAATATATATATATAAATGGAATTCTCCTAAACATGATGATCATATATATATATATATATAAAAAAAAAAGTTACCGAAGCGTTGCATTCCACTTTTCTGGTAAGCTAAACAATCAATACAAAGAAAAAATTCCAACATTAAATCTTCAATTAAAAATGGAAAAAAAAAAATAACATACTTGAAAACTTTCATTATTGTAATAAAAATGAAATCCACCGCATAAAAGAAAGAATGCGGTCACTGAAGCAGTAATTCCATAATTTACTGAAGGATTCTTGGAAGATCTGCCATTATTCATCAATGGGGTCTTAGTATAATACTTTGCATTGTTAATTTTAATAGATGATTTTATAATTGAAAACGTTAAAGGTAATCTCGACACAAAACGCGTCGTCCTTAAAGGGAAAAGCATTTTTTTTTTTTAATGTATTTGTTTTTAAAATCTGCGGAAAAAATATCAAAATGATACTGGTTAAACTATTTCGAAGTGTAACTTTAAAGAAAGATAAGGTTTATTATTTATTTTATTATATTTCCTCTCAACGAGAAAAGGTCGAGACCGAAAATTGTTCCTTTTTAAGAGCCCTACCTAATGCTAATCTTGATAAATTTACCAATATTGCTTGTTCTATTTGCGTTATTAATCAAAAATGATATCAACAAAGCTAATAACAGTACCAATTGAAAAAGAAACTAATGAGAAAGAAAAATAGTGGCTCGATACGCAGAATCCTTAAGAAAGAAAAGATCATCGAATTAAATATTTATTCCAAAAGGGTGTAACGCTTTTTTTGATGATTTGGATGAAGAAAAAAAAAAAAAAACCGCGATTTTAATCCTCCTCCTCACTTGAACTAGCCTTATAAATCATTTGCTTAAAGTAGTTCCTTCTCAAACTTAAGAGTATCGTGATATATTTTTTAGAAATCCCTACCCAACACCAGTAATATTACTTTAATAATAATTAGCTAATTCAAAAACTCTTTATTGTCTAAATGATTAGAGTTCTAATTTTTTTTTTAAACAAAATATGATATCCAAAAATATGACCATTCATGACCCCGCAGAAAGACAAACCCACAATCAAAGAAATCACGGGTATTTCTAAGAAAGCCTCACTCTTTTGTACAACACTAACTGTGGTCCGTGCTTATCCCAATATAGCAATATATTTTCAAAATTTCTCTGAAGTTTAAGAAACTTCACGTCTTTTTAAAAGAAATAATAACGTTAAAATGGAGAATGATAGTGAAGATGATATTGACTCTAGAGATTCTCAGCAAAGTTCAGACGCAGAAGCCCCCGATCGTTCTCCATACTCTGACGGTACTTTTATTTTTCAAAAAAATTGTTTCCTAATTTACTGACGCGTTTTATAATTTAACATATCCTTGTTATTTAAATATAGAAAATTTAGACTTGGAGGACGTTGCCCCCTTTAATTTTCCAAATTCAAACTCCGCACAAACACCTGCTACCCACACGAATCGCACACTTCAGCAATTCGCTGATGATTGCAAAACCTATGATATTGTGCCTTACGTAAGTTTATTAATAACCTTTGTTTTATTAAGCACAAACTCAATAAATTTTTAAAACGTTAGGTAGCGGCCATACAAGCATGTCAAATTTACGCACTTGACGCGACAAAAAATATGCGTTGGATATTTACGGGCGGTGATGATGGTTTTGTGAGGAAATACGATTTTTTCGCTTCAATGGGAGGTAAAACGTTATTAACGCAAAATCAAAAGCATGCCCAAGTGGAATCCGTTCAAAAGGTGCGATAGGTAATTATTATCCTATTATAAAATGATCAACACTTTATGTAAAAGTTTACTCATTTTTAATATGTAAGAATAGGCAGGTGTAATTGTTTCATACTGGGAGAACGAAGAGCAACCCTTGCCATCTGCGATCCCTAAACCTGGTAAGTCGCGAAACTTATTCATTTTTGATAGTTTTTACTAACATCTATTAATTATAAAAATATATCATTAGAAAAAACAAATGGGCCTTCAGAAGAAGGTGCAACTCCAATAATTATACCCGAACCTCCGGTTCAGGAACTCAAAATGTCGCCAGTATACAGTTTGGCGGTTCAATCTGAAGCTGTTTGGCTTTTAACTGGAATGGAGGTAAGTTTATATATCATGCGAGGTTCACATATTACATATATCCAAGTCTTGTGGGAGTTGTGATGGCACCCAATACATCAGTTTGAATTCGTCACGGATATTTTACTTTCTTCGTTTATGTCATTAAAGTTTAAATAACACGTGTGCATCCAGAGCGGCGCTATTAATTTATTCACTGTCAGACATGAAGAAGGGAAATGCCATCACGTTTTACGACAACATAAGGCTCCGGTTTCAGTATTAAAAATAACACAAGATGAAGCTGGATGCGTGAGTGGTTCTTGGGATAAAACGGTACTGGTAAGTGAGATCGTTTTACTTTTTATTTTATTTTATTTATTTATTTATTTATTTTTTATACAGCATTGGGATCTTAATACTGGTCAAGTTGTACGCGAGTTTTCAGGCCATGGTTCACAAATTAGTTCCATATCATTTCGCCCAGTTACCACCACATCTTCTTGTACATCAGGACAAAGTTCTCCCGGATCATTTGATCCACTTTTCGATGCACCTGAAGATATGTTGACGCAGTCGAACGATGTATTACTAACCACTAGTATTGATGGGAATTGTTTTGTATGGGATAAAAGAGCAAAGAATTCGATACCGAGAAAAATGACACCTCCCGAGAGAACCCCTCCATGGTGTTTATCGGTATGTAATTAATTTAATTTCTTTTTTAATCTTGGTCCACCAATAAGTAAGTCACGTGACCTTGACTTCAAAGGAAAAATTCACTTGTCCTGTTGCATGAGGAGGTTAGGGTTTATTGTGTTACTTACAGATCAAATATATGATATATTCACGTGACTTGATTATTATGGTGTCCGAGAGTTGTAAAGATCTTAAAGTATAATGTTTAAATAATCTTTATTTTTTAAAAAAAATTCTTTTAAAAAAAATTTAGGCATGCTGGAGCGCTAATGGATCTAAAATTTATTGTGGTCGACGTAATGGTACCGGTGAGTGCATATATGTGTATATATATATTTGGATGATAATTAGTATCAAAAATCAATTTTCTAAATTATGTCTAGTTGACGAATGGGATTTCTTATCGGGAAAATGTATTCAAACGCTTAAGATGCCAAGTGGGTCTGGTCCAGTGTCTTATGTAGCAAGTATGCCAAACGGAAGACATATAATTTGGTAAATCTTTGAGAGTGCAATAATGAAAAGAGACATAAACGACGATGATTTAACATATTGATCATTTTCCTACTTTGATTTATAGTGCATCAACAGATAATATAAGATTATGGAATGTTGCTCCAGATGAATCCGAATCTTACAAATTGGCTGTACCATTTTTAATTGTTCCCGGACATCACGGTGGAACAATTTCGCAAATATGTATCCTTTTTTTCTATAAAAAAAAAAAAAAATTCCACGATTTTTTATTACAATAATTCTCCTTAACAACAATAATTTTATTTGTTGTTTCATTTCTAATTTTAGTGATTGATCGCAATTGTCGTTATATGATAACAACTTCTGGTAATAGAGGTTGGGAAGGATCAAGTACTGAAACCGCTCTGTTTTATGAGATATTGCCAATAACCGAATAACGGGTTTTACACGTTTTTTTTTTAAAAAAAAGTGTCGTGGATTTTCATTATTCCTTCCAAAATATGTAAATTTTTATCTTATTTCTTTGAGGAATTCGAAATTTCTTTTTTTTTTTATTACAATACATTCATTTTTAAAAACCGAATTTAATTGAAGTTTGTTCGAGTTAAAAAATATTTACTAATAAAATGATTTTTTAATCATTCCTTGGACAAAAAATTATATATGTTTAATAAAAAAAATATATAGAAGTTAAATGGAAATTAAATAAGATTTTAGCAAAATTTAAGATTTTGTAACGGCTGTTTTCCCTGTTTTGCTGATTGCTTCGATAATTTCATTAGGAGATCTTTCGGTTTCAACGGTTACGATCTTTTTTTCAAGATTGAAACTAATTGAATCCACACCTTTACAAATTTTTTGTTTTTAAGAAAATGTAAAAGTCAATTAATTCAACAGCAAAAAAAAAAAAAAAAATGATGTATAAAATTTAAGTATACCTCCGAGGTTCTTTAATGCTTTTTCAACAGCTTTTGTACAGCCCGAGCAAGTCATTGGGTCGACCTCGAATGTATAAGTCTGTTATCGAAAATACATAGTATATGTAGATATATCAAATAATAATAATAATAATAATAATAAAAGGTTAAATGCATACACTTCCTCCCATTTCTTAAGTTTTATTAACAAAAAAAATTATGTGTGTGTGAATCGTGTGTTCGGTTATTTCTTTTGATGAAATTAAGGCTTGGGATTTAAAGGAATTTTTGAAAGTGACGAGAGACGTTTTACATGACATTTGTCATACTTTCCACATATGGGAAGATTGTTGGTTCCGGGAAATTTTTTTAACGATTTTTATTGCATTTTAGTATTAGATTAATTTTAGCATATGCAGTAATCAGCACGTTTACATAATGAAAAATTCAAACTTCTATTATTAAGAAAGTCTATATCTCACTCTTTATGAAATTCTATTTAATGGCAGTAATAATAACTTCTTTTCTCGAAAAGGTTTATTATTAAAGATTTGAAGTAAAAAGTAAAATTAATTATCCTGTTTATACCGTAGCATCCTCGTTTTGAATAGGAGGAAATCTTGGGAAAAGCGATAGGGTGAAATAAGTCATTTCTTTGTTCATTAGTTGCGCGAGAGCCATATACCAAGCAATAAAGGCAACCACAACTAAATGATTTTTTTTTTAAAAAAAAAAAGGGAAGCACAGTATTATTATAAAATGTTATTTTTTTTTTTAAAAAAAAAAAATAAAATTTTCAATTATAATTACCTCCAATTCCACCACCGATACGATCAAAGGTGTCATTTCCAGTAAAAGCGCCAATAGTGAGAAGTACGTAAGTGATGAATAATAAAAATAAAGCAGTAATTATACACCAATTTGTTCGTAGGACACAAAGCCACATGAAAAAGGTAACTAATATTGAAAGGGAAAAAAAATCTCGGGTTAAAAATAAATTTTCATTTAACGAACCATTTTTGTGTATATAATACGTACATATTGTCCAACCTACAAGATAGATCCCGAGAGCATTACTAAACATTTCAGTATCTCCTTTGTAATTATTTATTATACCGGATCCTTCAAAATTGATAAATCCAAAAGATATCCAAAATCCGCCTAAAAGCGAACGACAAAAATCCCTTTAGCATATTTCACTCAAGATAAATAACTTTGCGTGTAGGAAAACTTACCATAAGAACTAAATACTGTGCCATGAAAAGTATCCCCTTGTTTCATTTCCCACATACCAGCAAGGACTTGAATTACGCCACCATAAAACAAAGCTAAACCTAAGCCGACTGATGGATTTTTTACTCCGGCAGCTTGGGCCAGATATAACGAGTATACAAATGTATTCATCGCAAATGCACTTAGAGCTAATATTACAGTAAATATTGTTATTTTTTAAATAAGAAAAGAAATATATAAATAATTTTTATAAATTTTTAATTTTTACCTAATGGACCTGGATTAGCTGTCGGATGTGATTCGTTTGAATAATGATCATTCGCGTTCTTAAGAATTGTCGTCATTTTGCAACGATAATTTTCGTTTATTGGAAGGTTGGTTGATTTTTTTTTTGAATTATTTTTTTTTCGTTTTTTTCAACTATATATACAAAAAATCATCTATTTTTTTAGTATTTATTCATAATTATTCACATCATTTTGGCGTGAAAACTTCCGATAAAATCTCATTGTTCGAATGATCGCCCTTGATTATTTTTCCCACCTTTTTTATTTTGGGAAATCGAAAGATTTTTGTGCATGAATCTAATTGGTTAGGCGCATCAAAACGTAACGCATGTGAAAACATCAAAAAAATTTTTTTCCTAACAAAGTTGACCTCAGTATTTTCATTTTTAAAAAAAATAATAACGATAATTTAACGGAAAAAATTCTTTTCTTTTTAGTAAAGTCTAATGACAAGTCCAGATTCCTTAAAGTTTGATGTGCATTTCCGAATTCGGAACTATGTTACGGGTTAGTTTTCGTACATATAAATAACTTTATTTATTAAAATTTATAATTAAAATTTTTTTTTTTTTTTTTTTTTTGATCATCTATTTTTATAAATATTTTATTTGAAATTTTTGTTATACTTCATTATAAAACAAATTTTTATGTATTTTTTGAAGAATATACTGATTTGTTGATATTGTCGATGTTAATAGTGGTAAGTTTGAATATTTGCACAAGGCGGATAAAGAGGATTTACAAATAGGGACTTCACCTTTTATATAATTCCCAGGATCGATCTTAGATACACTTTTAGGGTTATATTACGTTATTATGATCGCATTACGAAAATCTGATCAACGGTCTCTCCTTAATTTACAATAGAGTATATGAAGATCGTCAAGGAGAGTTTTTGTTAATAAATTTCATTGAGTACATGCGGAAAAAATTCGAGAATAAATGCTATTACGGTTATAAATAAGTTATAACTAATGACTGTAGATACTGCGGTCCATACAAAAATAAATCTGTAATACATGACAAGGATTATCCTATACATTGACTAATACCATATCCCATCTTTATTTCCATAATCCATTTCATTTGTGCCTTCGTGATCCTCTGTAACGAAAATACTATTAGCTGAGTCATTTCATTGAAATGCGTAGTCACGACCGGAGTATACCCACCTTAATTGCGCAATGTTTCATACGAAAATTTTTTCAGATACTTTTTCATATTGCCCTATTTTTGTATTTGCAAGACTTTGGAAATCACCTCGGTAAATGAACATGCTAGGAAAAAAAAATATGCAATTCGCACATTACACAGCCTCTATTCATTTCGCCAAGAATTTTTACCAGCGCACTTCAGGTGATAGATCTATGTTTATCTACGTAGTCTTCCGATTACTACAGGTGATTTGAATCATCAGAACTGAATCAAACTTCTTCCCTCAAAGGTCTGGAATTTCTCCTCAAGAGTCTCTTCGAACTTCTTCTCCTAAAGGTCATCCTCATAGTCAGCATCTGCTTTAGCAGAAGTGATTTGAAATGTAGATGGTGTATTTACAAAATCTTTACTATTTCATAATTTTTGGTATCATCATTTTGACTGTTTCACAACATCCTCACATCATCAATTAATTTACAAGAAATATCAATCAGTGGTTAGTAAATGTCATTTTTTATATGTTTATTATTGAAATCAGAAAATAATTTTGTTTATTTATAAGCTAAAAACATAATAAGCCTAATGTAGGTGAAACTACATTAATATTTTCATTTATTTTCTAACTTTCATGAACGTTTTGATTTTTGTGGTTCTAATTCTTTAATTTGTGCTTTGTAACAGTCACACAACATAAGAAATTACAGTTGACCTCCTATATAGTTATACCCTCAGGGTCAAAAAATTTGGTATGATTATAAGAAAGTTATATAATGTGATTATAGAAAAGGATTTTTATATAAGGGTCGATTATATTTTTTTTATATCATTCTTTATACTATTTCCTATAAATTTACATTCAAATTCACTAGACACTTCAAGTCGTCTGGATTTAACTCAAAAATATAGCAGATAAAAATCTACAATCTTTCAGTTGTTATGATGTATTATTTCTATTGATTTGTATTCAATATCTGTTTAGTCAATTCTCCGTTTTCTTAACATATGAAGGTGAATATCTTCTTTCATAATTTATGAAGTTGAATATCACTGTTAGATTTTCAAGTGCTGGTATTTAATTTATCGTGTATATGGAATCTTTGAAACCTTTAAGGGTTATACAGTGCGCGAAAAAAATAATCGGAATAAAAATTCTATGCCGAAAAACTTAAATAATTCCTGTAATAAACATCCGTTCGGCAAATAATTTTACCTGGTTACACAATAAGCATATTTATAAATGTTGATCACTTTTTGTTTACGTGTCTATTTATG